ATTGACTCATTATCTACTCACCAAGATGCCAGTAGAGGGGTGGGAGAGTCCTCAAAACACTTCTGGAGTTTGAGGGGCAAACAGAATTGCAGCCAAATCAATTAAAGTAAATGGTGACCGATTCTTCGAACGCAAACTAAATGCCCCCAGCAGTATGTAGGCATTTTGTGCTGTCATCCAAGTGTCAGTAAGCCCCTTCGACTCGAAACAGCGTTATTCACACCATGTTTGTGCCTAAATGTCCTCTGATATCCTCTAGAGCCGCGTTCACACGTGGCTCACAGGTGAACTATCCCTTTAAGGAGTCATTTGACCTTTGATCTAAGTGTGTACACTCAGTTGCCACTTAATGTTCAGTGGATCTGCCATAAATTCAACCTTAAATGAAGTGTTTTATATTCAGATTTGTCTCCATTTAACTATATATTTATTAATGAGGTTTTAGTTAAAGGTGATGTATCAAACTGAGTTTCTGGTTTCTTGTCCTCCCTGTTTATGTACATGAGAGTATGTACCAGAATGTTAGAAAAACTTCTGGATATAATAGTCTAGTGCAGCAGCACCACTCACCTCAGTGCTAAATATAACTGAGATAACACCCCCATGACAGGGTAAAACAGCTGAGCATGATATGCATCATAGAAGTACAGCCGTTCATAGCAGAACAGTTACATTAGACTGTAGCACATATCTTTTTCAGGGGAAATTATTTTAGTAAGAACTAGGGCTGGGCTGAATGTAAAGCACATCACAGTGAAATGTATTACATCTGCTAAAACTCCAGGAATATGTACAGTAAAGTCTTCAGTGACTTTTTGTGTGACTTGTTTCAACATCAATGTTTTTTTTATTATAACAACGTATGATCATGTTGTCACTGTAAAACCTTTCTTTAATCATGGGAGTTAAAGTCCAAATGCAGTATGAGTATCTAACTCATAACATTTTTACAGGATTGATGCCTGAGACAAAATCATACAAAACATTCTTGTGTACTACTAGAAAATATTTCAGGTCTCCTTGTATAGAACAAGTATTTCTTCACATTATAAGTAACTAACTGCTATGTGGAGCTTATGAATTGTGTTCTCTATTCCACCAGGGGGCAAGAGTTGAGCTCACTGCTAAAAATCTCAAGGTAATGGACCAGATGCCTCCATCTGCTCCAAGGTAATGTATAGAAACCAGTTCCAGCAGGCGCCTCAGCTCATACTATCTGTGCACTGCACCATTTATGGTCGCACACGGGGTGGTTTGTCTCACTTGCATTTTTTCTTGGTCGGCAGGCTCTTCAAGCTGTGTTTGCCACCCTCAGATGGAGAGCTCTAAGAAAAGCATCACTCCAGTGAACTCGCCAGAGAGGGGGTGATTGTGGTAGAGGAAGATATGATGAGAGACGACAGCAACAAAAGAGGGCGAGTCTCACCGGATTTCCTCCAAAAGACACTGCTGACAGAAAGACCTTTCACCCCTCCACTGCCCCAATTACACAGGGATCATTCCAACATGGATACCACTAGAGTCTTCAGTGCAAAGTACAGACTAAACAAGACGGCACAGATGACTAATGTCAGTAACCTGAGAACACCCACAGGGACACTGACACAGCCTGAAGCTCAGGACTAATCATGTACTGTTGTACCGGGAAAAAACCCCAGAAAGAAGTATTACTACTGTGGCTGTATGTCTTCACCTAGCTGACACCATTGACTTGACAACTGGGGGTGCAGTATTCAACGTGAGTGGAAGGGAGATCTCACAAAGACAACATCCGCAGCGATTGTGCTCATAACTGAGCTCGTATGATTAACTGGATTAACCAAACTACCTGTAGCTGAGCTGACTGTCATCCTGAACACAGACGTTATCCCATTTTGCCTTGGACTGCGGGTCCAGAGAGTCTCTTTCTCTGTTTTGGCAGGTGTTCCCCAGGGCTCAATGTTGGGACCCCAGGTGAAGTAGAACATGAGGTATTCATGTGAGCTAGCAGACTGAATAGATGCAGAAAGTCAAAGAATAGACAGAAAGATGGAAGTAGGGATTGAGGGGCAGGTAATAAAAAGAAAGTCAGATAATAGACCGGGCTGCTCTTTTCCTTAACCTGTTGCATGTGGTTACTGTGCAATTACTGTAGGATTAGTGCGAGTACTGTATTACTGCACTATATGAAGGATAGTTATTTATTGTGTCTGGAAGGAGCTTTTTTATCCCTCACTTATTCTATATCAGGTATTAAAGAATCTAAAAGCATTCCAGCCTACTTATTGAATAATATTTAAAGGACCAATGGCATGCCATTTCTTTTAGACGTTACTGCTCGTGTATTTCATTTTATTTATGTCTATAGAGTTTGATTACATCAGGAAATCTTCAGGGGAGTGAAGATGAACAGAAGCTGGCTCATCTGAATCAGGATAAAGGAAGCTACAGCTAACTGTACAAGCCAGGTCAAAAGGTCGGGATGTTGAATCATCGTTAAATTATTAATATATGACTTAAAATGTACTAGTTGAAGAATTGCCTTCTTTTAACTAAGACATTGTGTTTACTTTTGAATTGGCTTTTATGTTGTCGTATTTACTGTAGGTATGAAAAGAAGCACAATGACTGGTCCGTACAAGTTGCAGTGTCAGTAAAAAAAGTACTGTAAGCAGTTTGTGGATGATGTAAACAAAGGGATCTCTCCAGGACTTATTCGCAGTAACATTGCTATTATTTTACTGAAGATTTTAGTTTCTTGTACATACAAACTGTAACTATGACAGAGGAAAAGATAGGTTATGTCTTATGGCAGCAGAGTAATGCTATACATTAAAATGCATTATTTTTATGGAAATAATATAGTATATAAAACATTTTGTATTTGTGACTGTGCATTTGAAGAGAAGGTTTTTTTCTTTTACTGAGCTTAACTTCACTGACAAGTGGTAGTTTTTGACTGTTAGAAAGGTGTAAATGCAGTTCAAGAATCCTCCTTGACATTCTGCACCGGCAGATCACTTAGTCCTTTTTATTTGTTTAAAAGAGGTCTGGCTCCAAATGAGCATGTTGGAACTGACTCTACACATCCCCTGGCAGTAGCATGGTCACTGTAGATTTAGATCCAGTGGTTTGCCTACACAACTCAGAGGATATTTTCATTATCATCATTTCCCATATCAAGTTTGCTCTTATTGTACATTGTAAAAACTCCTGGTCTTAAGTGTTTGTTTAAATTAGCTAATGACTGCAGCATGTTGGTGTAGCCAGACAAAGAAATATGTCACTGATTACACATTTTATTTACATTATTCTAATGTTTCATTACTGTACATACTTTATTTGCAATTTTGTGTTGCCTGAAAATAACTGTACAAAGCATCTTTGTTGAATCTTTCTAAAATGATCATTGTAAATGCAATCTTAACAAGCTAGTAAATAAAATCTTCACAGTATGACAATGTTTTTCAGCGTGGCAGCAGTGTTGAGCCGTGATGATAGAAATGCAAACACACAAAGATCAAGGGTTGCTGGACGTTTGTTCAGAGAGAAGTTAGAAATCTTTGTGTATTAATCCTACCTGGTTTCTTTGAAATGAAGATTTTATATTTTGTTTTTCATAAAATGAAACTTTTTTCTTTTTCACTGTTCATATGTGGTTTATATATAAGTTTAAATGATTGACGTCACCTGTCTTCTTCAGGCAATTTAAAATTCACATGCCAAGTGTGATGAGCGAGATATGAGTTCCACATACAGACAGATGTTTGTAGAATTAGTATTGGTACATTGTAATTTCCTTGTGTTCCAATGTCCTGTAAATGTTTTTGTGGTCTGTTGCAGTTTCACACAAGCAACTCGAAAGCAGAAAGCACTGAAACTGATTTGCTTGAAGAAAAAACATTGAGTTGTGACTAAGTGCTGCTGAGAGAGAACAAAAATAGTTTTAGTGCACTTACTAACAAATTAGCTGTATGGCACAGTATATATCAAATGATCTCTATTGTATCTCTACAGTCCAGTGAACCTGATGCTTATCATGGGGAAAGTGGATTCACTAACTCACTGACAGACTTCGTTTAGTTCTTATCTTTCACTTTCTGAGTGCTACAAAGTGATCTACATGGATGCCTCCACCAAGGAGAGTCATGTTTTCACGCATGTCTGTTTGCTGGCTGATGTTTTTTAGCAGGATTATGCCAAAACCAATGAGGTATGGAGGGATAGGAAGAACCCATTACATTCTGGTGTAGATATGGATTAAAGGTCGGATCCAGGGTTTTTATTTTCACTTTCTGACTATTTTTTTCTTTCTACTATAAGCACTATTATATGAAGGGGTGTTTCTCATTGGCAGAGGTATGCTCTGTACTGAAGGACATTGTTTCCTCTATAACATTGACATGTTCCATTTCTGTGCCCTAATTGTTTGTGTGCCCCTTTACTGCTGCTCAGTCAAACCTTAAAAACGCAGCTTGACACAGTTTTCAGTGTCCATTACCCCCTGACTGAAGGAAGCTGCACTTATGAATATTGCATGAACATACATCATCAGAGAGAAGTCCCCCTCCCAGCTTCTCTCTTGGGCTCCGGTGAAGAACTGAGCAGAGAGGATGAAAGGTTATCTCAGGGAAAACAAACAGGAAACCTTTGTTTTCCCAAAATACACATGCTGACTTTGGGTAGGTTTAAAATCAGAGGTTGGGGCAGTTATGATCCTAAACCCAAATCTGCAATTTATAATTGTTTTTCACAGAATGGGGCCAAATAAAGACACCTGCAGCTCAGAAGTGAATGCACCAGAGCAAGACGGGTTGTGCATGTTCGATTTAACTTTACAGTCTTCAGCAATGGGCTGTTAAATGATTACAGATGACCTTTAATCTGCTATTTTCCAACCTGAGCAGACTGGAGATGATAGAATGTGCATGTCCACCCCTGCTGTGTGTGCCAAGTGGTCGGATAGGGCTAATGTGAAAGCTCGTACTGTGCAGTTTCGTGTGGATATTGCGATTGGTTTTTCTTAGGGGGGGGGGCGACACGGACTGTATCCAGCACCAGCACACACCCCTCAGCGCCGGTGATGCAGCCCCGCGGCAGAGGCACCGACAACTCCCCGGCAGAGTCGTTGCGACTTTAGAATGGTGCAGAAATCTCTCAACGGCGGGGTTTACCCAACTCAAGCCGGAGAGAAGAAGCACAAAGTCGGATTCGTCGGACTGGACCCCGGGGCTCCCGAATCCAGCAGGGACGGCGCGCTGCTGATCGCGGGCTCGGAGAGCACAAAGCGGAGCAGCATCCTCTGCAGACCCAGGTCCAGCATCTCCCCAGGCAGACCCCGACCGTCGAAGAAAAATGCCAGCTATCGGAAACTGCAGAATTTCCTCTATAACGCGCTGGAGAGACCGCGGGGATGGGCGTTCATCTACCACGCTTATGTGTAAGTGATGTCTCCTGCGTGATTGTGGACTTTTGGCCTTTTTACTTTGCCGTGCAGTGCTATACTGAGTCATGGTTTAGGAGGGGGGGCTGCTGTGGAGCTTTGACTGTGTCCCTCCACACTGAATTCAGCTCGTGTTCAGATGGAGCAGTGGTTGAATGTCGTCAAGCTGCCAACCTGCTATAGCCTGATTATAGGAGGGCATCACTCCACCTGCAGAACTCCTGCGTTAACTCTTAGTGACGAGACTCATGCATGTGCCAACATATGGACAAACACACACACACACACACACACACACACACACACACACACACACACACACACACACACACACA